ATGCTGCATAGATTGTGCTTTTAACGGCTATATTCCCATCTTTTCTTCCTCGACTGTTGTACTCATTCGAAATTTCATTTGAAATAGAAGATAATAATGAAAAGATGGCTTCTTCTGCTTTGTTTTACTCTAATCAACACGATTATATGGGGGAATGAAGATGCAAAACGATTGTATGATGATCTTATGGTTGATTATAACCGTCATAAGAGGTGAGATCTATTTAACAAGCGTGGAAGTCACCCCTCTTCACTGACTACCGTAGATTTTATCACTTGTTGGTAGATAAGTAAGGCGACTTTTGTCCTAAATTTATGACGTGGTGACGCTTAATGGATCTGCGTTTGCATCCGATTTTTTCTGTCGATTCTCTTTTACCTGAATTTTCATGAATAAGCTGATTCATTTGCTCAACTCAATAATGCGTCCCAGTTGAGATGTATCTTTGAGGTCAAAGACTATCTTCCAATCTCTGAAATCGAAACTCTTAAACCAGTTTTGAATCGTTCTAATAGGCATCACCTATTTGCCATACACTACAAATTTCTCGAGAAGCTTTCGTAGCTTTTCTGTCGGTTAAACGCAAAAAGGAGAAGCTGTCGAAAACGTTCTCTTTGTCGCCTTGACATTATATTTTAATGGCGTGAAACTTAACAAACTGATTTAAACAGGAAATAAAACACATTTTTTCGTAACAATTTTCTTTAGAACGACATATGATATTACATCAATAAAATTTTAACTATGCAAATAAATTGATAAAAAGCGCAATGTCTTATAGGCCAACCCAACACAACACTGAAACGATTTAGATCAAGGCACAAAAAATATCTGTGCTCTCGCTACTTAATCGAAAATGGTGCATTACAGCAAAAACCCAATTAGATCTTGTTGTCACTATTATTAGAACTTCTCTAGCACCTTTGGTAGCGTACTTTCGTAAGGAAATTACTCATTTTCACGGAACAAATCGAGAATTTGATTCCTTTAAAAAGTTGGCTGAAATTTTTGGTTACGCGCCATTTTACATTCCTTCCTTTTTTTTCTGAATCGGATTTCCATGAGCGTAAATCCAGACCTTCACTTCCTTGTGTGCACTACTTCCTTGGGATGTGCTCTTGTTAAGATAGCCCTACGACTTCGAGAAACCCATGCGTACATAATGAGCATAAAAAAAGAATCGATCTCCTCCGTTTCTCTTACTGGTTCACTTTTTTCTTTCTCATTTAGTAGATTAATAAAAGAAAATAGAGGAGAATCGCATGTCATTTGAAAACGTTTGTAAAGAGAAATGCGCAATGTATATGTTGCAACTGCTAAACAATAAAGAAATTCTTGTGATGAAAATTTTTTTAAAGGGGATAACAACAAGTAATCTTAGCTCAATGAACAACGCAAAATCAAGTGATTAGTCGGTCAGTCAGCTGACGCAGTTATTTTCCTCGCATGTTTCATTTCTTAAGAGTTGTCAGATAGCAACAATACATAAAGGAAACTATGACTAGATAGCTAGAATAACCCACACAAGCGTTTCTTAGGCTAAATTTTAAATTTTTTCAGGCCAGCCTTCAGTCCACATAAGCCGATAACAATAAAATTGAAATTGCGATTGAGTCAAATTATTGATGTGGTAAGTTTTAAGTGCGATAAAAACTAAACGTGAGTTGTGACCGATTTAGCATGAAATTGACCAAATTATGTCATGTTCTGTATGGCTGAAGCAGGTATGGATTGACAAGAGATTGTCATGGGATCCAAAAAGCTATGGTGGTGTCAATGTTCTTTACGTTCCTTATGAAATGATTTGGGTGCCGGACATCGTTCTCTACAATAAGTGAGCTGGTTTTTCTCAAATATTTTCTTTTTTAAATTTAGAGTAATTGAATTGCAGTGCCGACTCTTATTACAACATCACGATTTCAACAAAAGCAACTTTGCATTTCACTGGTCAGGTCACTTGGGAGCCACCTGCGATTTTCAAAAGCATGTGTCAAATTGATGTCAGATGGTGCGCTACTTGTCATTACATCCAACCAAAACCTTTTTATAAGATCAGACCTGCTTTTTTAAAGCGTACACGCAAAATCCGGCACGCTAGAAAATCCCTGTTTAGCGTTTTGTAAAATACGAGAAAGAACGTAGCTCAATTCGACGGGCTTCGTAACCTGGGCTATACCTTTCAACCATGCGAATTTTGTGAAAAAGGCTCGTCGCTGGGAGGCATCATGTCACAACTTACGATTGCTATGTAATGTCCCCAAGTACGCCAAGCACATACCCCCCTAATTGGCCCATATTGGGCTAATATACGACGATAATAAGCGCAGTTATTATACTGAGGAAAATTCTCAATTCAAACAAAGATTTCACCACTTTTTTAGCATAATTGCTTATATCAAACGTGGAACAGCTACTTAGAAAGAATGACAGCCATGGGTAATTAGCAAATAAAAATAATTTGAAAGGAAAGAAATATAAGCCCCCGTAATGGTCTACCGCCTCATTGTGGCGCAGAGGTGTGGGTGTCGAACTGCGAAGTACAGCGGAGGTTTATCCTCCAGCAGGGTCTCCCAAGCTGAGAAGGAGT